CGTCCCCCCGCGGGGACTGGTGGCTCCCTGCCACGTGGGCAGCTCACAGCATGCTCGGGTGATGCTGTGCAGCCTCCCCCTGCCCCATCCCCGGGGGCCCATCCCAGGGGAGCGCAGGAACCAGGGTCTGATCCTGCTGGGAAATGCACGGCTGCGGAGCTGGATTCTGCCACACTTAATGTGAGGGGTTGAGTAGGGGATGGGTGACTTTGCAGAAAGCAGGTCCTGTGTATCAAGGATGACGTGAGCTCTGCGGTTCTCCATGTGCTCCAGGATGGGAAGGGGGCAAGGACAGGAGCCCTAACTCCCCACGCAGTGATCCAGGCTAACAAAGAGAGAATCCACTAGAAGCAGCAGCTGGCACCGGGGACATGTACCGATGCTCAGGGTTGCCTAACTGCTTGGGTGAGAAAAGCCTGGTTTGTGGCAAAACGCTGCAGCTCACCATTCACCAGGGTCCCCTCCACCCCAGCAGGGACAGCAGGTGATGGGATGGGTGTGTGGGTGCAGCCAGGTTGGGTGCAGGCTCTGGGCACCTGTGCCTTGCAGAGGGGCAGAGGAGGGGACACAGACCCCTCTCACCAGCCTGGGGCGTCTCCAGCTGGCCTGAGCTTTCCTGCTCTCTTCCCATGGTGCTTGGGCACACAGTACGTCTGTGCCATGGTACCAGCAACCACGGGACCTTTATAAGGTGCTGGGTGATGCTGGGGTTTGCAGGAAGGAGGGAATGGATGCTGGGGAACCAGTCTGGCTTGCACAGCTGCTCTAGGTTGTTTATGGCTGCAGGGCAGCAGTCATCGCTGTGTGTCCCTCAGGTCTGGGGCAAGCCTGATGCCTGGCTCTTGCACAGAGGTGTTGCCCCACCAGTGTCCTGGGCCCTGCTGAAAGGGTGAGGGGAGAGAGTGTGAGCACTTCCAGACTTTTGCCTTGGGAAAGGGGCCATTTAGCATCTCTGTCTTTGCAGGACCAGAGTCCCCAACATGCACGTCCTCCTCCTCTCCCAGCCTCTGCTCCACACCCCAGCATCCTTCAAGTGAAGCCTCCACTGTCTCGGGAAATCCAGGGTGCATGTCCTGAGCGCTTGGGGGTATGGATGGGGCAAACACCAGGCTCTGACCCACTTCAGCTGCAACCAGCCTGAGGCCAGCCCGTCCTCACCTCTGCTGGGCCAGCAGTGGGGAGCAGAGGGGAGGCGGAGGAGCATCCACCCCCCCGTGCTGGTGTTGGGGCTTGGTGCCTGCAGGAAGGGGCTGGTGATGCCAGCCCATCCTCCAGGCCTCCTTGCCCAGTGGGTCTGAAAGGCGCCAGGATACTCGGAGAGAGGAGAGGAAGGAGTGTTTCTTATTTGAGACTTTGGGCCAGGGAGGAAGGGCAGCAGGAGGTTGAATCCAAACAAACAAACAAACAAAACCGCCGCCTTGGAGGGGGAGCTGAGCCGGGCCAAGGCATCCGAGCAGAGAGGGAGGGATGGTGGGGATGTGCTGGGAGCTGGCGGCAGCGAGTGATCCGCAGGCAGCGGTGCCGGGGCCGGGCAGGCACCCTTCCCGTGGGATGGCGTGGCAGAGGGAAGGGGGGGCTCGAATCCAAATTTCCTTCCCCCGTCTCGGGACGGAGTTAACAAAGCACCAGGCGTGGAGGGGGCCAGCTCTTCCCTCTGTCTGGTTGTCGGCTCTATCTGCAGCTGCACCAAAAGCAGAGGGGAAGGAGGAGAGCAGAGAGAGAAAGCCCAATTAGTAGATGAGCAGAAAGAGGCATGCAGGAAACCCAGCCCCCAAAACACCAGAAATCGTTAATGAGTGCCCGACCAGCCGTGCCAGCGTGCCGCGGATGCTGGCGGAGCCACAGCCGTGCTGGGGACCTGCTCGCTCTTCTTGGTTGGGGCGACGTGGGGACAGTGGCTGGGAGAAGCTGTCACGGGGTTGTGTTTAGCCTCGCCAGGCCACGGAGCTGGATTTTATCCACCTTGGCTGAGAAGTTTTCTATTTTCTGCATTGCTTTCTAAAACCATTTTTGCTCATGCCCTGCCTCTCCCAGACATCACGAGGAGGTGGGAGGCTTTGCAGTTTGGAGGCCTGAGTTGCCCATTTAGGGGCTTCTTGGCTTTCAAAAAAAAAAAAATCTTAGAAATTTAGTGTAGTGAGTCATATCACACAAGAAGGGACCAGTTCCAGCCTGGCTGGAACAATGCAGGTAACACTTTCAATTTTCTCCAAAAATGAATACTTTTTGGGGTTAAAAATGTTTACCTAGATTTTTGTTCTTTTTTTATTAGGCAATGCCAATTTTTATCTGATCTCTGCTCAAGCTGGATAAAATCAATAGGAGACTGTGGTAGTGAGAGTGGTAGAAGTGGGGAGTTCCTTGGTAGGGCAGAGGCATCACTAGCCCCACACATTCTGAGGAGCCCTTTCAGATAGGAATCTATTTAGCAGGTCTAAGAGCCTTCCGTTTTCCATTTTGAGTGAGCAAACATGAATTAAAACTCCAGAAATACTCTCCTAAGGTAAGATTCACAGTATCATTAAAAGAAAAAGGATCTGCCCAGATGGGGAGAGCCTGGATCCCAAACATCCTCTGAAAGCATCTCACCCACACTCTCTGGAAGGTCTTGGGACCTTCTCTGAGTGTGTTTGCTGCTTTTCTTCTCTCTGGGCCAGCCTTACAGCAGACTGAGCAGCGGCGAGAACCTCCCTGAGGGTTGAGGGTGTTTGGGGGAAAGGGAAAAGGTGTTACCAGGTACACCTCCCCAGCCTGAGCTGAGAGAGGAGCTGGGTGAAAGAAGAGGTGACGCAAATGAAAGAAGAGGTGATGCAAATTGTCACCTGTCCTTTCAAATGACGTCTCCTTCCTTCACCCCTTTTCTCCTGTTTTCAGGTTTGTAAATATTTGGTCAACTTTTCTCTCTCCTTTCTCTTAGCTGAGCAGCACTCAGTTTAGGCTAGTACCTGGGACCTCTCTAATGCCCTGGGTCTTAGTAGCCTCCACTGGGAAGGAAATTTGGACCAGGAACCAGATTATCCCAAACCGTCCCAGATTTATCCAGTGGAGCTAGCTCTGAAGAGCCAGGGTTGCTCTTTCTTTGACAGGGAGAGAGCAAAGCAGCTCACAAATCAATTTATGTGAGTAATCTAAATAAAAGCACCAGCCTCCTGCTTGTGGCATTTGGAGCGAGCCCCATTGTGTTATCCAAGAGCGAGCCAAAAGAGCTTTGCAGTTACGTAGTCTCTCTGGCTGGGTTTGTGTCTCTGAGCAAGGAACTCCACTCTGGCATCTTGTTACTCCAGGTCCCGTCCTTTAGACACTCGATCTGGAAGGAGTCGCTTTCCAGGTTATCCTGTGCAGAAGATGCCAGACAAAAAAACTGTGTCAATGTACAAGGCAAGGAAATTAATCTCTCCATAAAAAGTAAATTTCTTGGTGGTTTAGTCAAGATATATCCAGACTTCCCTGGAAGAGGACTTTTCTAGCTAAAAATTGCAATGAAATCATAATGAAAAACTTGAAGAGTTTTGTTGTTGCCAGCAACCCAGTTGCATGCTGAATACAAAAGAGCTAGCGTCATTTATTCCTGGTCTAGGTACTGGGTTGGATAAGGAGGCAGCTCTGCGTGAAGGATGAGTCTGGGAGGAGATCAGAGAAATACCCAGCTCCCTGTCGGAAGTCAAAGCGGGCTACTGGTTTGGAGGGAAGACAGCCACCCCATGAGTCACCCGCGCTCCCCAGCTGTTTCCCGGAGAGGGCCTGCCAAAATCCCAGCCACTTTGACTTGCCGAAGCTGTCCCAAAGTCCCGGAGGACCTCCCGGTCTGTGGAGGCTGGCCTCTGCGGGGCTGCCCAGGAAGATGAGCCAGTGCCCACCGAGGTGGGGAGCAAGCAAAGGCCTGGCAGCTTCCCCAGGGCTATTGCTGACTTTTTCTGTGGCAGAGGTGCCAAGTCTGGCATCCTGTGAGCTGGCCGGCTCTGGAGAGATGCTGAGAGGGTGACTTGGTAAAGTGCCATCTCTTCTCTACATCTTTGGGAAGGAAAGTTGGTGGGTCTCAGAGGAGGCTTTGTCCTTGCCCCTGGGGAGGGTGTAAGGATGATGTATGAGGTTGCATTCACTCTCTCAAACAGAGATGCAATGGTTCTGGGAGGCATCCTCCTTTTCCTACCCAGTGCCCAGCTCCACACTGTCACCCCATACCTTCAGTACTTTGTATCCAGTGTTGCAGCTGATGACAACCTGGTCTTTGAAGGTGTACATGGCTTGAGAAGGCTCGATTTTCCCATTGATTGGTGGTTGCACCAGTGGGCATGGGTTTCCTTTGAATAAAGAGCAAATGAAGAAAAACAAAACTCAGCTGAATAGATGGAGCAAATGGAGAGTCCCAGCTCTGCCACCCAGTCCCTGTAGTAGGGTCTGAACATCCCTGCCCTGCTCTTGCTGTTAACCTACACAAGTATGGCTCAGCCAGGCTCTTCTAGCAGGAGTGGAGGTTCCAGGTCTTTCCCCCAGTCCTGGGCTGCTCCTGGCTTTGGGCATTACCCTGCTGGGAGCTAATAACAGTAGCTTTTGCAATTATTCTGCCCAAAACTGCACTGCTTTGCAATGTGGTCTTGTTTCAGGGCCCATCTGGCATAGGACAAAAAAGCACCCTTTGATGGAAGGGCTCCACGTTATTTTATTACTCTCGTGATTTCTGGCACAGACATTTTCTGCAGACAGGATCATGGACCACCAAACTCGTGGTCTCCACCTGCAGGGTTTACAAAGCCCTTCCCATTGCCCAAGCCCAGAAAATGGAGGAAAGCAGCAGGAGTTACCAATTGCTGTGTATGACAGCTTCCAGCCTCTGTTCTCTCCCGAGTTGTCACTGTGGAAGAGGATCTGCACGCTGTTGGTTTGGGTTTCAATGCGTCCTGGGGACTTCTCTCCACAGAAAGGGCCAAACTCCCTACGGCCAGCTTTGATCTGCCAAGGGAAAGAAGAGTGGGTGGCTTGAGGGGGATTTTTGATCCCTGAGGATCGCTTCAGCCTGACGCTGATGGATGGGGCTGCAGTGGGGTCAGTGGGGCTTAAACATCACGTGTTGGGGGGATATGAACTGCAAGAGGGTCACCATTGGCTAAGAAGGTAAAATTCAGACATGGTGAGAGACATGGGTTCAACTGAGCACAGGGCTCCTGCTGGCTTCATCACCCCTGTTAAGACTGGGGTGATTTTGGTCCCATCACCAGGGCACTGCGAAAACAACAGGAGAGCGAGACAGGAGGAGTGTGCAGAGCCCTGCTTACCTTGATGTAGTCATAAGGACAGGTCACCTCGGGGTGGTCTTCCACATCGAAGCTGTCCTCAAAGCTCAGAGTGATGAAGAATCCTTCTTCCAGCTCGATGCGGTACAGGCAGTCCGAGCTCTTGGGGTAGGGGCTGGGGAAGTCAGCGCTGGCCACCACCCCGCTCCTCTGTGTGTAGAGGTTGTCGCTGCACTCCACTGAAACACAGCCATGGCTCTCTCAGAGCCCTGCCAGCCACATCCCGGCCCTGACCATGCTCAGGAGCCCTCCCAGTGGAGTGGGGTCTTCTGGGGAGTCCATGGGCCCTGATTATGGCTCTGTGCAAGGAGAACCTCACACAGCCAACCTCCAAATATGCCTGTGGCATAGAGGGTCCTGAGCTGAGAGCTAATCCCAGCTAATCTACCCAATGCAGATTCAGAGCAGAGACCAAACCTTTTCATTTCTCTGACTTGAGGAGGTCTACAGGGCTTAGCTGAGGAGCATAGCCCGTGGGAGAAACCACATCTCCTTCCCACACAAGAGGACTGCATGCCTTGGGCACTCTCCAGACTCAGGCTATTGGTCTGTAGGGGAAGAGGCACCTCGTCCCTCCCGGCAGCAAGAGGGCAGTTCTCCTTCTGTTTGGTAGGTCTGTTTCCTGCTCAGGGGCCCCTCTGTGTGACCGTCCCCATGTCCAAGCTGTGCCTGGGCAGTACCTTTGCAGGTCCTGTTGTCGGAGTGGAGGATGTAGCCGAACGTTGTGGCAGTAGTGGTCACATGCCAGCTCCTCGTCGCTTTTCTCCAGGCACTCGTCCACATCTAGGATGGAGGCAACAAGGAGTCATAGAACCATAGAATCATTAAGGCTGCATAAGACCTCTAAGATCATCAAGTCCAGCCATCAACCCAATACCACCATGCCTGCTAAACCATGTCTCACAGTGCA